TATGGGTCTGTAATCAGTCCCGGAGATATCAAGTCGAGGTGGATGGTTTTCCTAATGGAGCCCACACTGGGGGAACAGAGACCCCTGTCCCAAGAGCTCACTGAGTGTGTGTGTGTGTGTGTGTGTGTACCTTCAGAGGCTGCTGTTGAATCGAGATGAGGCCCATTCCCCTGGTCAGTCATTCCACAGTGATGAAGAAGTCTTCCTGACAATACCTGGTCCAGGCTGGAGGAATTGGTGGGAATCAGTGGCAGGCCTCCAGCTGCTGGAGGAAAGCCTGCTGAGGTGAGGGTCCCCCAGCCTCAGCTGGTCTCAGGCTTACACCCCTGCTTCAGCCACGGGAGAGCCTGCCGGCCCCGAGGAAGCATGCTTACGCCAGTGCCCCCTGCAGTCTCCAGTCTGGCCCAGGGGCTGCATTTCCCGTGAAGGGAGCAGGGAGCAGGGAGGTGTCCTGCTTGGGGGGGAGGTCAGCCTGCAGCCCCTCCTGGTTTGGCCTCCCATACTTTACGGTGTGTGCACTTTAACGGGTGTGGGTCTCAAGTAGGGAACTGGAGTTTCAGAACGCTCGATTTAACCCGGCGATTTGTCACGACTTGCGGCCCAGAAGTCGGGTTCCCTACCCCGGTGCCTCAGTCTGTTGTTTCAGACCCGAGTGTGTGTGTGTGTGTGTGTGTGTGTGTGTGTGTGTGTGTCCTTCAGAGGCTGCTGGCTGAATTCCCGGAGAAGGAGGCCCAGCTGCCCCTGGTCGAAGCCTATGGCCGGCTGGTGATGAAGAAGTCTTCTCCGGAAGGGGCTGCTCTGGTCCAGGAGGAGCTGGAGGAATTGGTGGAATCGTGGCAGGCTCTGAAGCTGCTGGAGGAAAGCCTGCTGAGGTGAGGGTCCCCCGCTCCGAGCTGGTCTCAGGCGACACCCCCGTTTCGCCACGGGGAGAGCTCAGCGGGCCCGTAGAAGCATGGCGTCAGGTGCCCCCGTGTATCTCCAGTCTGGCCCAGGGGCGATTCTAGCGGGAGCAGTGGGAGCAGGGAGGTGTCCCGGCTTGGGGGGGGGG